CAATAGGGACAGGTCAGAGTCTCCCTGTGGCACTACCAGGGTGCCCGACAGTCCCCATCTGTACCTGATCCCTTTGTCACGTGGCTGCCTTGTTATTGGCTTGAACCTCTGTCTCTCCAGCAGGATTGGAAAAGGTAAGTACATGTGGATTTGGCAGTAATCCACAATGGTGGAGGGGATGTTTCTCGATTGAGCCAGGATTACAGCTTTAATTGAAATGTCCTGGGTAACAGCTATAATGTCCCTAGGTGCGTCTGCCGGGGTGGTCGGGGCTTTCCGAAATCTGAATGTAGAAGTAATGGGTAGTGCTTCTGTGTTGCTGCTCACTTCTAGTTGGTGAACTCTAGTGCAGGCTCAGGGCCTAATCTCACAGGCACCATGCAGATGTGTATGTTCTTCCTGCAGTGTCACATTTCCAGTGCTGTCATAGTGCAAGTGAGCATCTGGAGTTGCTGGGATAGACTCTTCACCTGGGTTTGGGTCTCTGCGTGCAAGAGATCTCTTTCCCCTTCTCGGTTTTCTATGGCTATGATGCGTGCAGAGAGGTCGTTCATCTCAGTGTTCACTCCAGCTAGGTTAGTCTTCCAGACCTCCTGTAAGTCTAGCAGCAATTTTATAATACCCCCCTTAGTGAAGGATGATGCATGAATCCAAGTCTTCTCTCCTGTAAACCTCACTCTGAGCTTGTGAGGTTGTGGGACCATCTTCCTCCGGAGACTCCTTTGATTATTAAGTGTTCTTGCATAGCAAGACCACTTAATGTTATCTCACATATATATTATTATTATTATTATAGCAAAATTTGCCACCCTAACTCCTCCCACAGTTTTTACACTACATAGACAAAAATTTACCAAAACGTGCAGATTGTTCCCGATCGGATTGCTATTACTGTGTGGAACGTTTCGCCGAATGGTTCACGGAATATCGTCGTTCTTGTGGCAAAATTTGTCCCATAGGAATGAATGGCAAAGCTAGAGTGGGAGCTGGCAAAAGCTGAAAAATCAGGACATGATTTCTAAACTGCAACCACTCCCTTATTTTCAGGCCCACCTACACAAATCTTATATCAAAACGTTCAGCTATCCCTGCTGCCACTAAACATGTCAACGGCTAAGCCATAGTCCTGATAGTTTTCACAATATAATCATTTGTTTGCAACTAACGCCGTCCATTGACATTCATTGAAACTTCCCTCTACAAAGCTCAAATTTGAAGTGCAATTTCTAAACTGCGACTGTGCCTTCATTTTTAATACTTCAGAGACATACTATACATCAAAATGTAGGTCTGGGTCTTGTGATTCTCACAATATAAAGCTCTTCACTGTAGGAGTTATAGTTTTTAAGATACGACCGTTTGAAGATGGCAACCGCCAAAATACTCTGACCTGTGTCAAGCTGCAGCAGCAAGTGATGTCATAGACAGGGCCTTTTGAACACCTGCTAATGTTTTTATAAATGTATGGTTTAATGTAACTGTGCAACAACGTTGCAATTAAATGTGCTATATAAATGATAAGTTACTCCGCCCACTCCAGTTGTAGACTACTGGTGGAGGCAAGAACACTTCACACAATTTCCCCAGAAATTGTAGCTTTTCTAGTTATTATTATTATTATTGCCATTGATATAGCGCCAAAAGATTCCGTAGCGCTTTACAATAGTATGAGAGGGTGGATTTAACTATAAATAGGACAATTACAAGAAAACTTACAGGAACAATAGGCTGAAGAGGACTCTGCTCAAACGAGCTTACAGTCTGTTGGAGGTGGGGTATAAAACACATTAGGACAGGAAATAGCAATCAAATAAGGTGGGAGTGAAACAGACCTGGAGGAGAGAGTAGAGTGCTGCCCTTTAGGAGAGAGCAAGAGACAGGTATGTAAGGTAGAGGTTACTCTGGGAGGCCATAAGCTTTCGTAAAGAGATGGGTTTTAAGGCACTTCTGAAAGGATTGAAGACTAGGGGAGAGTCTGATGGGGGTAGGCAGGCTATTCCATAGGAAGGTGTGAGCTGCGGACAGGAAAAGGTTACGGGCAGAGCAGAGGGACCGAGAAGGGGCATACCTATGGATCTGTGAAGAGATATAAGAGGGGCTAGAATTGTTCAGTGCTTTATATGTATGGGTTAGCACTTTGAATTGACTCCCATAGGATAGAGGAAGCCAATATAAGGACTGACAGAGGGGTGAGATGTGAGAGGACCGACTAGAGAGGAAAATCAGTCTGGCAGCAGCATTCATTACATTCAGTTTGGCTTTTGGGAAGACCAATCAGGTGAGGGTTACAATAATCCATGCGGGAAATTACTACAGCATGGACAAGCTCCTTGGTAGCATCTTTTGTAAGAAAGGGGCGTATGCGGGCTATGTTTTTAAGTTGGAATCTACAGGGTTTGGCAACATACTGAATGTGAGGCTCAAAGGTGAGGCCAGAGTCAAGTATGATGCCAAGACAGTGTGCTTGCAAGGATGGACTTATGTGGATCCCACTGACTTGAAGGGAGAGCGAGAGTGGAGGATCAATATTAGGAGGAGGAAAGACAAGGAGTTCAGTTTTAGAGAGATTGAGTTTCAGACAGCAGGAGGACATCCAGTCAGAGATGGAAGAAAGGCAAGCAGTGACACGTTGCAGGATGGCAGGGGAGAGGTTCGTGGAGGAGAGATAAATCTGGGTGTCATCAGCGTACAGGTGGTAGAGGAATCCAAAAGACGCAATAAGTTTAGAAATTAGAAGAGGACCAAGGCCAGAGCCTTGGGGGACTCCAACCGAGACAGGATGAGGGGAGCAGGTATCCTTGGAAAAGGAGACACTGAATGAGCGTTGGGAGAGATAAGAGGAAAACTACAAGAGGACAGAGTCACAGAGACTGAGCGATACAAGAGTTTGATGAAGGAGAGCATGATCAACGGTGTCAAAGGCAGCAGAGAGGTCAAGAAGAATTAGTATGGAGTAGTGGCCTTTGGATTTAGAGCAGTCTCCAGAAGCTTTGAGGAAAAAGGGAGCAGGGATATGGGACAATAATTAGAGGGGGAGGATGGGTCAAGAGATGTTTTTTTCAGGATAGACACTACAGTGGCATGTTTAAGGTCAGCAGGGACAATGCCAGCAGAGAACAGTTGAAGATATGTGTTAAGGAAGGCACAAGACAAGGGGAGAGAGATATGATGAGGTGAGACAGGACAGGATCGAGCGTGCAAGTGGTAGGGCAAAAGGAAAGGAGAAGCGCAGCCACCTCTTGTTCAGCAGCTGGGGAGAAAGTCTGAAGGGTAGGAAAGGCATGATCTACATGTGGTTGAGAAAGATAACGGCAAGGTGGGGAGAATTCTTTCCTTAGCTGTTCAATCTTGTTGGTAAAGTAGCATGCAAAGCTGATTCACTAGAGTCTTGAGGCCTTGTGGGGGTCATCGCAGACTTCTGCTTTTCAAATCACCAGTAGATATCTGGCAAATTTCTTTTAATGTTATATTTTACCTTCTTTTTGTGGATTTACAAACACCAAGTACAATTATCCGATATAGTGTGCCTAACTAGGCTGGTGCCTGATTTGCTAGGTATTTTAAACCAGCCTTAGTTTATTTTTTTTTATTTTTTATTTTTTTATTTTTTTTGATGAGTGTAAAAACTAATATTTATTCTTACAGAGAAAATGTATACAAACTATTGGCTAGAAAATAAATAAAAATAAGAAATAATAAACTTTAAAAACCATATAAGAACAATAAAATTGTATTTAGTGGTCTAAATATAGGTCCACTATTAGCCAAAACGCGTTTCACCGAAAAGCGGCTTCCTCAGTCAGCTTCAAAGTATCTTCCGTATTTCCTCTCTTTTTTTTTTTATATATTTTATTTTTATTGGATTTTTTGAGTGCATGTCTCCATGTTTCCGGAGTACGGTAATACCCTGTATTATAACATTGTAGTAACACAAAACGTAGTGTTATAAGGAAAAAGAAAGAAAGAAGAAGAAGAAGAAATAAAATATCGCAACATCGCAGCACTGAATACAAGTATAACATTCTCAGTAACAATTGTATTTGGCCTAGGATACACATTGGTTTCATATCTGTCACGGTAAACCTGCCGCCTTGGTCATTGATTCCTATGTGTGTGTGTGTGCGGTATAGCATGCGTCCAAGAGTTGTGGTATGTCGTTCTGGGTATCGCTGTGGTTCAGCCTTTTATACCCAGGTAGTTAGATTGTTGTGCCATAGGCGGAGAAGAGGACCTCCCATGCACCCTCTGTCCCACCCCCTGACCCTGTTCCTTGTCCCTTTCCTGGTTAGCTTCCCCCCCTCTTAGGTAGATACGGTGGTTAGTTAGTTTAGTCGGCCTGTCTACCTCTTAGCAATTCTTTCCAGGGTTGCCATATGTCTTTGTATCTGTGATATTTGTCTAACGATCCCCATCTTAGTTCCTCCATCTCATGAAAATGTTCTATTCTTTGAAACCAGTCTGTTTTAGAGGGCGGGATCGCCGATTTCCAGTGGTTCACTATCGAGCTTTTTGCCGCTGTCAGCATAAAGTAAACGAGGGAATGTTTGAATTTACTGTGTGGTATTTCGAAGTGGAGTAGTAGGAGTGCCTCTAGGTTGTAGGGTATGGGCGTGTCTGTTATCAGATTGACCGTGGTCCAGACTTCTTTCCAGAAGCCCGATAGCTCCTCACATGTCCACCATATGTGCTGGAAGGTGCCCTTGTCTGAGTTGCATCTCCAGCACATTGGTGATGAGTTGGAGTCGAATCTGTGAACATCCACCGGGGTGGTATACCACTTGGAGATGAATTTATAGTTAATCTCCTGTAGTGGTATGCTAGAGTGTGCGTGGAAGATCGTTTGGAAGATATTCTTCCAGTCTCCTGCTTCTAAATCTTTGCCTAAGTGGTCCCTCCATAATCTGGTAAAGTACGGTAATTGAGTACTCGTCTGGGTTTGTAACAGTTTATAGCAGAGGGATGTTGGCTTGTGAGGCGTTTTTTCTCCCGAGCATAGTAGTTCAAATTTGGTCCTGTCCCTTGGAGTCCAATGTGATAAGCCCTGTGCAGTCAAGAAATGTCGCATTTGTGCGTACTGAAATCTCTGCATAAGGGATGGGTCTTTCCCTTCTGTCAATAGTGTGATTGGCGTCACTCCCCCCTCTCTCACTACCTCGTCTAGTGTCAGATGTGCCTTCCGTTGGTCGTCTCCCATTGGTTTCAATTGGAAGCCCCTTTTCCCTGCTATGAAAAGGGGGTTGTTCGTTATAGGGTATTTCGGAGATGGTGTTGGGGCAATGTCTGGGTAGCTGCGTACTTTTTTCCATATTTGTAGGGTTGGTGTTATCGTCGGGTGTGCTAGTGTCGTCCAGTCGTTACCCGAGGTCAGCAGCCATGGAATTGCCTTCAATGAGTCGCCTATCTGAACTTGTTCTATTGTGACCCACTCTTTGGAGGCGTTTTGGTATGTCCAGTCTATGATTCGGCCTACGTGTATCGCCTGGTAGTATAGCCAGATGTCCGGCAGGCCCACCCCCCCTAACTCCTTAGGTCTCGTTAGTATGTTGTACCTTATTCTTGGACGTCTTTTGGCCCATATGAACTGTGTAAATAATGCCTGAATTTTCTTAAAAAAGGTTCTCGGAATGGCGATTGGGAGAGTGTTTAATAGATATAGTAGTCTGGGGAGTACATTCATTTTTAAAATATTTATCCTCCCAAACCATCGGAAGTGTGGTTTATTCCATGCTTCCAGGTCCGCACTAATAGCTCCTAAGATTTGTGGGAAGTTAGCACCATATAATAGCTTAGTGCGTGGAGTTATATTGACTCCTAAGTATTTGATGGACTTTGTTGCCCATTGAAATGCATATCGCGTTTGTAGTCGTGTCTTGTCCTTGGCCTTAGTTTATTTTAGTACGCTATTAATTTGTCATACCAGATTGCTAAGGATAGACAAAAATATAGCTACTAGCCTCTGAGTAATCTAAATTTATTTAAACTTTGTTATAGAACCAAAAATGTCTGACATAAAGAAAATATGTTGGAATGCTTCATACATATGTACAAACAAATAATAAATTGTCTTTATAAGTTATGATCTTGACTTAATGCTGATTCTTAAATGATTAACTCAGTGAGGTAGTAATAACTTCTATTAACTAGTTGAAGGTAATCAAGGAATCTTAAAGGGTACCCGTCATGCCTATTAAAATTTATTTTCTTTTGAAGGAGCATACGTTATATCTATACATTGTGCTAGCCAGGGCCAGATTAAGAGTCCAGTGGGCCTGGTGCTGGCAATTATGATGGGGCCTAATTACAGAATCTTATTGACCAAAAACACTAAAACAGTCATACCTCTCAATCGGCATGTATCTGATGGAGTTGGTGTTGGAGGGAAACTCAAAGGATGCAGCTATAAGAAAACACATACTCTATGCTAATCTCTTTATCTAATTTATGCTTTCATCTTTCAAGTAAATCCATACCCCATAACAGCAGTGTCCAGTGAAGCAGGAAGTCAATGGACGGGGTAAAAGGATGGGCCACTGACGCGAATCACGTGACCAGAACTGCCAAAAGGGGCGAACATGCCCAAAAAGGGGGCATGTCTGTCTAAAGAATTGGAAGGCCAGCCTGGCATCAGTGTCCCTATGTCGCCCAGTCCTCTAGTCTCCCAGTGTCTGTGTCCCCATTTCTCCCAGTGTCCCAATGTCTCAGTGTGTCCCGTGTCACTAGGATACTAGAGGAAACTGAGAGACCCGGGGACACTGAGACACTTGGGGACACTGGGAGACATAGTGGCACTAGTGGATACAGACATGGGGACACTGGGAGACATGGGGACACTGATACATTTGGGGACAGTGTGAGAAATGGGACCACAGACACTAGGGACACAGAGACATGGGGACACAGATACTGGGAGACATGGGGTCACAGACATTTGGGGAAACTAAGACACTAGGGACACAGAGACATGGGAACACAGACACTGGGAGACATAGGTACACTGAGACACTAGGGACACTGGCTGGGAGGCATGGGGACACAGACACTTGGGGACACTGGGAGACATGGGGGCACTTGTGGTCATATACATGGGGACACCAGGAGACATGGGAACACAAACATTTGGGGACACTGGGAGACATGGGGAAACTAGGGACACAGAGACAAGGGGACACAGACACTTGTAGACATGGGGTCACAGACACTAGGGACACAGAGACACAGACACTGGGAGACATAGGGACACTGTGAGACATGGGGACACTGAGACACTAGGGACACTGGCTGGGAGACATAGGGACACTGGGAGACTGGCTGAGAGACATGGAGACACAGACATTTGGGGACACTGGGAGACATGGGGACACTGGGACACAGGCACTGGGAGCCATGGGGACACTAGTAGCCATGGGGACACTGGGAGACATGGAGACACCGTGTCCCTTGTGTCTCCATGTCCCAATGTGTCTACCTATGTCTAACAGTGTCCCCTTGTGTCACAACGTCCCCATGTCTCACAGTGTCCCCTAGTGTCCGTGTCCCCATGTTTCCCAGTGTGCCCTAGTGTCTCAGTGTCCCCTAGTGTCTCAGTGTCCCCATGTCTCCCTGCAGCCTTTCCCCCTTCTTTCACATACCTGAGCTGAAGTCTGTCTCTGCAGGCTGGGAGCTGCTGTCTGGACTCTCTGTGCTGTGTAGATGCTCCCCCGTGGATCAGTAATTAGAGAGAGGCAGGGAGATGCTGTAACTTCCTATCCCTGCCTCTCGCCATACTCAGTGACCCCTACTGGCCGGTGCTGGTATTACAGAGTAATCTCCGTTTATACTGAGAAAAATATTTGCATTTGTATTGCCGGTATTACTGCAATACTGTCACGGCCAGGCAGCCTCAAATACCAGTTGTGCCTTAAAATACCAGTCAGGTGGCAAACCTAAGCGTAGTGTGTTAAAAAAAAGTTTTTAAAAAAGGTTTTTTTTTAATTTATTTTTTAAATAGGACTATTCCATGGGCCTGGAGCTGCAGCTCCATTAGCCCCTATGTTAATCCGGCCCTGGTGCTAGCAGATTTGCTATCAAATGTATAGATTGTGAGAAAACCCCATTTAAAAGTAGGTTTTTCTACCACCTATCAGTCAACTATTTGGCAATTCTTTGGACCATAGGTGGTCCTTCTGCTCTCCACACATACCAACCACAGCATATGTGATGTGCTTCATATGGTAACTCTCTAGTGGGCACTGCCAGTTCTGGTTAGGGGCTATAGTAATGGTGTGATTCATGTCACTCCATTCAGAAATTGGCATGCTGGCAACGAAACCAGCAATTTAGCACCAAACCAGGCTTGCCTTGCTTGGGGAGAAATTCCCTGATTGTTTAAACAAAGTTTTTGTTTTCCTCAACAAAATCTCCATTTAACTATATAAAATCCAGGTTCACCTTGTTTATAGGTTATAAAGGTTCTGTAACAGGAGATGGATGGATGGATTGATGAATGAATAGAATGAGGGATGAATGGATGGATGGAATGATGGCTGGATGGAATGATGGATGGATGGATTTCTGTATTTCAAAATGGCCATCTTACAGATATTTATGTGAGCACAGTTTATTTCCTTCATAATGTGCATTAGATCTAGTGACACTTTTTAATGTACCTTTCACATAGATCTGGTCAGTGATCTAATTTAACATTTATTTAGGCTAATGATATAATGAGATCACAATAATTCCAAGATGCGGATTAATCTATGAAATTCTCTTATTTCTCAGATTTTGTTTATCACAATGTATGTTTTCTACATAAGATTCCTTTATATTTGATTCTTCAACATAAACCGGAGCCTTTCAACTTCCAGTAGCTGTAAAATGGCAATCTGTGCTCTTGTAAACTAAAGTGCTTGAGTGAAATCCCATTTCCCTTATGAAAAATGTCTCTTTCTTCAGCATTATCAATCAGAACAAGAATGCATAGTCTCTGGAGCACTACAGCAATGCTACGTTAAGACATTTCATCAGTTTAGGATATATGTGATATTATAAAATGTATATGTATCTAAATATCGTTAGCATGCACAACATAGGATGCAATAATTCACTGACGTTTCGTTGGAATCTGTTACATTTTATGTTTTCATTTCCTTTCTTCCTGTTAGAATATATACAGCGTGCATTATCTGCGCATAAACAAAACTTAAAACATTTTAATAACTTCAGTTTTTCTGCATTATAAACAGATACAGAATACACCTTGCGTATGCTACTTTTTTTTTTGTTCCTACTGGTTCTCTACCTTTGCAAAAGTTAAGGATTTGGTAAAAAACATAACTGCTTTTACAGTGCCCTCCCTTTGAAGTTTTAAATCAGCTTGTAAGGATCTGAGTGCTGTTCATGTCATTTATCCATCAGTGCTTAGTCCATTTAATCCAGGTCTCTCAGCTGTACAGACCACATTCCCCGTTGTGAATGATTGGCCTGCTTGAGTGCTCCCAGCATCTGCTGTCAAATCACATTTGCATAAAACAGGACAGATAACCAAATTTGAGCACACAAATGAAAATGCTAAGCGCTGAGCCTGTCACTGTTGTTGTTCAACTAATTGTGAAAAATTTGATTTGCTTGCTTTTCACTGTTTATCATGCAGACCCCTTTTCAAATTTGCTCTGGCTTGTGTTCCTGAACATGTAGCTTTTAAACTCTGTGCAGTAACATCCCACCCTTGGGATTACTTATCTCACCTACTAGCTTTTAATGTTGGTTCATCTACTTGACTAAATTAGGCTGCCATAGCAAACAAACACATAATTAAAATCTGAAAAAAGACAAGTACACTTTTACACCCTAAATTGATTTTATTTATTTTTTATTTACTCGTATATGGTCTCATATTTTATAGTTTGATAATGTAACATACACAAGAACCATCTGTGTGACTTAGATTGCGTACAATAAAACAGTAATTCCAGAACCTCTTATGTTGAACAGGCTCCTCTCTTACATCAAATTGGTTCTTTCAGAAGTGTACTAAAGACCAAGTTCAAACTGCAACAGAATAGAAAATTGTTGTGTTATTTTTGAGCAGTAATGAGATATATATATTACTTAGGTTTTGTTTGTGCGTGACAGTTTTAGAAACCACGCCAAATTGCCAGCTCTTTAAATATTTATGGCTTTTTATTTAACGTGGCGATAGAACGATTTTATTTGCTTTGATTAAACATAGATTATTTTTAATTGATCCCTAAAGTTTTTGTTTATTGACATGAGTTTTTATATGTGGAAGGCAGGAATGCAGAACTGATGGTGTGCAATATGGTGC